TACTTCAAATGTAAAAAGTTTGTTCGCAAACTGTTTGAATAAAGTTGAGGCATGGCTGCCAAATTTAAAAAAAAAAATTAAGTTATCAATTATTAGTTATTATTCTATTTTTAGAATACGAACGTTTAAAAATTAGATCACCTTCAAGTTAAAATACTGTATCTTGATAAATTATTATATTAACGTTAAATGAAAATTGAAATATATGTAGTTAGAAACCAGCATTTTAATCTGAATCAAACAACTCAAAACTGTCAAAGTCAGGTTTTCCTAGTCCATTACCCATATGAGTTTGTCGAATAATTCCCCTTTTTGGATTTGTATCACTCACACAAATAAGTGTACGCAGTTTCAGATAAACATTGCATTTCCTTATTCAGGGGAAGGTTATAGCGAAGCAGGAGTTTTTTGTTTTTTATATATCAGATATAGATATCAAGAATACGATTTATGCAATATATTAAATTAACTCCGCTTTAACTGACCTTCTTATTTATCAATTTGTTTGTTTATAAGTACAATACGACAAATATTGATTTAAGTAAACGAGCTTTCTTTCTTTAAAAAGAAAAAAAAATAGACGAAGAAATGATTATAAAGATATGATCATGATTACATCATAAAACATGAAAGAAATAAATTTATGATCATATGAATTTGTTGCGATATCAGATAAATATCGCATTTCCTTGTTTGTTTATGAGTGCAAGTAAACGAGCTTTCTTTCTTAAAAAAGAAAAAAAAAAATAGACAAATAGTTATCGTTATAAAGATGATCATATGAGTTTGTTGGATAATTTCCCTTTTTGGATTTGTATTACTCGTGACCCCCTTATTCATCAATTTGTTTGTTTATAAGTGCAAGTAAACGAGCTTTCTTTCTTTGAAGAAATGGTTATAAAGATTTTATATAAATAGCTTAGATTATTGACCATTTTTTTTCTTGAAAATGTCTTCATTTGAATTAATTTTTCATGGTTTTAAATTTTAAATTATCTCTTAAGGATTTTATTGAAAAACATCTTCCTATCGAATCCAAATATGAGATTGTTACTTCTTTTAAATCATTTCATTCATTAATAAAACACTCGTTTATCTTAATAAAAATAATATGCCTCGTATATCCGATAGAAACGTTGATCTTCATGGTCAATATAAACTTTTAATTTTTTTGATCCAGAGTAAATGGTAAGAATTTCTTGTTAAATACATGTTGCTAGTGATATTTACGTCCACTGAGATTTATCAATGATGTCGCTAGAGTTCCAATCTGGATCAGTATTTGAAATTTGTGTTCTAACGAGAACACAAGTTGCAAATTTTATATAGTGAGAACATTTTGAGAACCGGAAATTACATGCGAGAATATGAAATGAGAACACAAAATTGAAGCGAGATTTCGAACACTGATCCGGATATGGATTGAAACTCTAATATTTGCTCGTAAATATTCACAATGACCTTTTGACAATCGGGTGTATAAGTACGCTGTAGTTGAGTGAGACACAGACAGGTGGTGGTCTAGATACTGTGGAGGTCCCAGGTCGATGGCATAAATTCCAACTGCTAATTACTTGTGTAGTCGCCCATGTAGACACTTAGATTGATTCAACATGTATTTATTTATTTTTTATTTTTTAATTATTTATTAGGTTAAATCTGGAAAGTAAAATTCTTGTCAAAGATTTACGTGAATTCTTGAATACAATTTCAAAAAAACCAGAAACATCTGTAGGCTTTTCGTTTCAAATATCGAATTAGGTGAAAATGTGAACTTAGTTAACCAAACTTTACCGGTTTTGATTGATATGATGAAAGATCCATCACCTCAAGTCAAAGATAGACCAATTATAACATGATAGACTATGTTATTGCATTAAGAGAGGGTATACTAGAAGCATACATTGGTATTGTACAAGGTCTAAAAACTGGTGAAAAAGGTTAGCGTTGATGATACAAAAATGATCTTTTAATAAATATTGTTTCAACTGATCGTAATTTTTATTTTATAGCTGATTTACTTATGCGATATATTGACCAAATATTCAATTTCATGAATATGACCTGGAATGATCAAAAAAAAACTGAAATTATCTAAAAATTCAGTGTTTTTTTTTTTTTTTTAATAGCGAATTGGCAGAAGTATTCCAAAATGGTCAGATTAAACAATAGTTCCAGTACGATTGTATTACACAGGTGTTGAGAGAAGGTGGAAGTAATCGTAATCTGCCTAATGGAATGAGAGAAGTCACTCGATGGGCTAAAGAGGTATAATTAGCGAAAGCCAATTAACATTTCCATTTATATGTATATGTAGCTAATGTAATTTGTATTTTTTAGATGGTAAAGTGGGCAACTCAATAAATTTCTTTGGTTATAGTATGAACATTGTATTATTATTGCTTGATCAAAGTCAATTTTAATTATATGGTAATCATGTTGAAAACGCATATGAGAATAGGGTACCGTTATACAGATTTCTAACTCATACTACTTGCATCTTAACTACAATACATCCTGGCTCATACATTTTTGAGCTTATACCTACGAACGTATTTCAACATAGCAATAAAAGAGAATCGTCAACTTTAATTGTAAATGTATTAAGCTAAATAATTATGATGGGCGAAATGAACAAAAATTCTTATCCGCCCCTAGTATTAAATATCTTAAAAGAGTGAAACTGTAGTAAAAAACAAAACATTGATCAAGTGGAATAATGCTACTTGGTTTTCAAGCAACATTTTTTTATTTATTTAAATTTTTAACTGTTTTTATGAATTCTGAGACAACTGAAAACATTGCGATTGCCGACACGATAAGTTTCTGATGTCGGCCGACATCAGTAATTTATCAATTCGGTTTTCGGCAATGTTTTTCAGCTGTCCTAGAATTTATGAAACAACTGTAAATTGACATTCGGATTAGTAATATATAATCATTATCATAATCTTCTGATTAGTAAATTCAAAAGGAATAAAGTCCGAAATCCCATTCGGTATGATATTTTATACTCATAATATATTGCTTAATGCTGACTTAGCTCTGACCCAGAATTTTGGTTGATCAGCTGAATTTTGTCACATGCAATATTAGCAGACCTTAACGTTAAAAGATAAAAGTTTTAGCGCCCTGTATTTATTAAAGTACTTTTCCTTGGGGTAATAATAAAAAAAAACCCCCTAAAAAAAGATGTGCTTAAAGAGAGTATTCATTTATAAAAGCAAATAATATTTTAGAGTGTATAATGCTTGCATTTAAAGATATACGTATACGTGTACGTAGTAAAATTTTATTACAGTATTATTAAGTATACGTATTATAAAAGCTATATAATATAAGCTTTGTCTATGTACGTATGTACGTACGTAGCATTTTAAAGTTACTATAAAAGTATAAAATTTGCAGCGTTTAATAAATTTCAATTTTGCACAGAATGGTGATCAGATCCAATTTAGCTGTAATATAAATTTATTAATTTATTAGGAATATTGGTTCATTCGGACATACTTAACAATAGCTTCATTTTATAATATCTGATATTAGGAAAAGGAAAACAAGGAAAAAAAAAGGTTAACCACTTATAATTTTCCATTAACAACCTAAATACACCCAAAAATATACTATCGCTTTAAATTAAAATAGAGGCATACTGTTTAATTATTGACAAGTAAAAAGTTCAAGAAAATAGCATCTGCTATCTATAATAATTTCAGCAGAAGAAATAATTTCAAAAGCCTAAAGTAATTCAGCAAGCGAAAATAATTATAGCAGGCGAAAGTAGTTTTGCCACGTAGCATTTTGAAGCACCATAGCAAAAATATTAAAACTATTTCGCATGCCGCTTGCCGTAAATCATCCATAATTTAGACACCCATATGGGCTGCTGTCAATAGAAATAAGGCAGATAAACATTTTAAAAAAATATAATATCCTAACTTTAAAAGCCTATATCTCGAGTAATTCTGATACTATTTTAATGATTTAAAAGTGAAAATAAAGCTCAAGTTTTAAGCTTTATTTTTACTTTTGAATCATTAAGATAATTTTAAAATTCATTAAGATATAAGTTTTTAAAGTTAGGGTATTATTTTTTAAAAAATTGTTAATCTGTCTTATTTCTATTGATGGCAGCTCATATAGGCAAATCAGCTAGTTTAAGTAGTTAGATGTAGTAGTGATATTAGTTTAGAATAGGAGAAAGGATTAATAATTAGAGTATTTAAATAGATAACTCACAGGCAAATTGCAAATATAATAGCATAGTATAGAACTAACAGATAGTTAATTGTCTATCTAGCAAACTACTTAAATTAGATAATAACTAAAGTTGTACATATAGTTTATTATATACTTATTATATAACTATAAAACCTTAGAAGATTACTACTATGTTAACTCTATAATAACAAATTAATAAAATCTAATTAGCAAAAGA